AAACAGGTTCAAATTCTGTGCAGTTTTAATTTATGTGAGTGTATATTTGTTTTCTCACTCTGTTTTTGAGCTTTAAAAAATTTACTTGCAGGAGAAACTTATTAATACATTCAGTGTAAACATACATTTCTATAATTAAAAGCAGTTGTCTTTCTGCCTACTCTGATCTAGTGATCTTTCGAATGCCTTAATAATCTTCCAACTATATGAGATGATTTGTGTCCCAGTAGACTGGAACCAGGTCAACAAACCTCCATATCCTGCACTTGGTGGTAACATGAAAAAGGTCAGTGTACGCTTTCTGGTGTATGTTCTGCTCTGTCTGGGCTGACCCAGAACAGTGCAGGGCATGGCTGGGGCATTTGCTACAGTAGCAAAGTTGCTGCAGCAACACAACATCCTGCCTTGCCCTGCTCTACACTAGGTCAGTTGGGCAGCACAGGTGACAAGGGGAAGCTGGAGGGGTCAGGAGCCAGGAATCAAGCTAGGGAAAGCCTCTGCACACCTCTGGCTTCTCCTTGCTTGTGACCACATAGCTAAGCAGTGGGGGGGGCAGTAGTTTAAAATCTGGAGAAGTCAGGAACCAGGTATGTTTAGATTTTCCCCAGCTTGGCAATCAGTTCCCTCTTGCTGCCCAGCCACTCAGCTGATTGGCAGGCAGTGGTTTGAAACCTGCCATCTGGGCGTGGGGGGTCCCCAAGCCTTGATCTCAGCCTGTAGCTTTTAAATTGCCTCCCCACTTCTCAGCTGGATGGTGAGGCAGGAGCTGGGTCAGAGACCCACTCCTGGCTGCCAGCTTCCAAATTGCTGCACAGCTGGGTGGCAGGGCAGCAAAGGGAAGCCAGCAGAACTTGCAAGGGAAGTCCAGCTGGGGGAAGAGGCAAGGAATAGTAGCTGCTGCTCCCCTCACCTCCCAGTCTACAACAGGGGAAAACAGGTGCCCCCCCACATCTTCTTTAGATGGGGGTGACTCCAGTCTCAGGAAGGCTGGGAGCCTTTCCTAGCTCCACTCCTTTTGATCCCCAGGAGGATGTAAACCAGTAAACGTTCAATCTCCCAGGAGTGATTTAATCCTGGTTGTTGTTGGGTTATTTTTCTACTGAAGTATACATTTTTGCTTTATGAGAAGAAACCTGAACATTTACACACTTTCGGTTTATACTGGGAGAAGGGTGATTTTCCTGGTTGAAACTGAATGTCTGTACTTTTTAATAATCCTCCTATCGTCCCCAGTGTTGATGTGGGTAAAGTTAGGGTAAACTAGATCAAGCTATGAGTAGATTCTAGGTCTATGTGTTAGTAATATAATATTTTTTCATATACGTAAAGGTTACGCTTTTTTTTCTTAGATTGAGAATTGCAATTATGCAGTGGAACTTGGGAAGACAAAGGCCAAATTCTCCCTAGTTGGTATTGGTGGACAGGACTTAAATGAGGGCAATCGAACTCTGACCTTGGCATTGGTGTGGCAGCTGATGAGAAGGTGAGGAGTTGTTACAGTTGTTATATGAATGCAGAACATTTACATTTTCATTTCTAAATAGTGGGAAGTCCTTCACCTGTTGGCAGTCAAGCTGCAAATCTTATTAGAGAGCTAAACTCCACAGCTGCAGTGTAAATCAATGGTGCTCTGGCTTCACTAAGGGGGGTGGGGAGGCCCGTGGCCTAGCCCTGTGGAGGGTAAGTAAAGGGAGCATGGTTCAGCCACAGCCTGGCCCTGTGTGGGGAAAGAGGTGCAATCCAGCCCCATGGAGGGGAGGGGGCTTGGCCCAGCCCCAACCTGGCCCTGCGTGGGGGGAGGAAGGGGGCTTGATCCAGCCCCAATCTCGCCCCACAGGGAAAAGAGATGTGGCCCAGCCTGAGGGGAGGGCTAGGGCCCGGCCTCATCTGGCTGCAGGGGTGTTCAGGCTGTAGCTGAAGTAATTTAATTTGCTTTTTTTTCAAATTAAAACATTGGGCATTTTTTATTCCTACCATTTTTCATTACGGTAGTTAATGCAATTAAACAATAAGAGAATAAACTTTTGGCCTCTTTTTAGGTCATTTGTCATAGGTCTATAATATCTTCTGTCCTCATAAATTGTTTTTTCTTTTGATTGGTTTCCGAAAATGCCACTGACACCAAGTGAGACTACAACACTGCTAAAAACAATTTAATTGTATTTCTTTATTGGTGTCAGCGGAGCTATGATAATTTATATGCACACAAGATTTGCTTCATACTACGGAATTTCATAAAACTGCAAAACTACTGAGAAAGTATACTACAAATAGTAAACTGATTTGGAACAGAATAAAAATTATGTGGATCAAAGGATGATTTTCTTGGATATCCTGAGAATAACCTTTTTCTTTTCAAACACAAATTTTGAATGCTTTCCTTTTTCCTCTGCAGTTTGACAAGCTACATGGATGGAAACAAAAATGTTCTCCCCTCCCCTCC